CTGCGATCGCGGACGTCTATGGGCAGCGGCCGCTTGCTCGTTTGCCACCCTATGATATAAAAAAAAACTTACGCATTTAGAGAAAACGCACACCTTTGACTATACTTAAGAGCTTATATGGAAATGCACTACTCGATTATCAGTTGTACAACTAAACAGTTGTAGGCTGCAAACAATCGACAATCGCACAACTTTATGCTATAGTTTAGATAAGAGCACGCCTTTAATCATACTAATATTATAAATGCGAAAGTTTAGATGGATGTTTGTTAGAGTTTGTAGCCTCAACGGATGAACAGATTTCGATGAAATATGGTATAGATGTAGAAGATAGCCTGGAAAAACTTTAGACTACTCTCTTTTGTTTTTTAATCCACTCGGACGGAGTCGCAGGCGAATGCTAGTAAAGTATAGTATAAGATTTTTCTTCCAGGATCGAGTTAATCCAGATAAAGCGATACATGCAATCAGGAAGCGTTGGCAAGTCGAACCTGGGGACATCAAGTACGACTACTATAGACGCTTTGTAACTGTCGTCGCTAACTCCGATCTGTTCCATCTAGAAGGTTACCAGGAGTTCATTTATGATGAGGAGCTGAATGTGGATTTGTACCAACTGGCTGTTGACGTAAAAATATTTTATTAACATTAAGCATGGTATATACTAACATTTAAGAAACATAGACGAGGAAGTGAACATTTTTTACTGGTACTTTCTCTGAAAGGTATATCAGTTGTCAAATTTAGTGCCACCTCATATTAACATGTAATAAAACATTTTACAAAACTATAATAAGCGCCATCTTTTGTTGTAAAATAAAATATAAACATTTAAATATAATTTAGCGACATCTATTGGCAATTAATTTAAAACATTGATATGTGCTTTTGGGATCTATCAATAGATAGCGTTATTTAAGTAAAAAATGTCTCAAGTTAAGTGTTACCTATGCCTCTTCTATATTTTTTCAATATCTGATATATACGCTCAGTTCTAACTGAAGATTTGAAGTGATATATTAAAACTGTGTAAGCAAAACTTGACAGTTCTTTGTTTACGCAGTGTCTGATCCGATCAGTTAAAACTGTTATTTAACTGAGCGTCTGTGAAGGAAGGGCTTTAGGCTACTCGTAATTGACGGAATAGATGCTATAAAGAGAATATTTTCCCTTGGTATGCATATCCAATAAATCCACTTTCCCTTCCCATTATATCCTAATAATCAAAGGGAATAAAAATAGCCTTCAGACACTTATCAGACTATACGTGGAATTGCTTCACGCCTGTCTTCTGTGTGGTCGTGATATTGCGTGCCCGACAGTGCGAAGATGTAAAGCGGGCCCTACCACTAATTGTCTCACGTATTAAAAATTGCGAAAACAAAATAATGAATTTTATCTCTTTCGATCCTCCACTTAAGTTGATATTCCAGGTGTTACCAGAACAATTGGTGAAGACGATCTGGTCGCGGGAAGTTGCAGCGAATTGGACGCCGGTGATGACGGAAGCTGGGATCTGTTACGTGATCAATTCGGTTGCTACCACAGACGTAGCTATGTGAGTCTTATGACCGACGAGCTGTCGCCCGCAAGCTTCGTAGGCGCAAAGGACCACCCATTACGCCATTTTAACAGCGCGGAATTTAAAAACAAGTAGCCTATAATATGCCCTATGTCAGCTACCCTCCAGTGAAAGCCCGGTCGAAATATGCCCAGCCGTTTTTGAGATTACTCGGGACATCGCAAATATATCATCTTTCTGAAATCTGGCTTTTTTTTTTGCTATTACAAACAGACACTTCAATTTATTATATGCATAGATTATTTAAATGTACTTACTTGTAATTCTTTACAGCAATACTACAGGAAACATACCATCAGAGCCACTAACATGCAAATATTCCTCTCTTAGCTGTTATGTCATGTTTGAGTCGCCAAAACCATTTGATGTGAGTCTTCAACCTTATCCTCTTCCAGTTGGCACTTCCAAATAACTCTATCATCCATCTCAGTCACTCCCTTCTTGAACTCACCTTTCATACAATCCATCTCTTTCTATCTACTACCAGTGTACTCATAACGTCCTTCTTGTTACATGCGATTCATCCCTGATGAATATAGCCTCACAAACTTAGCCGATCCGATCATAATTAAGAAATGATTTACAGCGGATCTCAATAACGAATAATCGATGTCCCAATCGATTTAAAAAGTCATCCAGTTATCGTCTCAATCGGATAATGCCAATGACGTGGTTTGCATCGGTCAGGACATCGATCGTACGTTGTTCAGACCCACCGTTAACCATAAATGACAATTGATTTAACCATTCCAGATATATGTACACTCACCTTATGACATCATGGATCTAACAACACTGGTCACACGGACTTTCCTCACACTGAACCGTATTAGTGAACTGAGCGTAATGGAAACACGCACTGGTAGAGAAGTAAGAAGTCTACGACCACAGCGAAGAAGATGTCTGTACAATAATGAACCTGTCGAGAAGAATAGACAGGTACACACTTATGTCTACCACTTGAATACACATTTCTATGTTTTCTCAGATATCTTTTATAATAAAGCGTAAACACATACTTCTTTGTTGCCTAAGATGTAAGCAAATACAGAATGTTTTTGAATAATTCCGTTTTTAATAAAAAGCCATACACTTGCGTCACGCTTTAGGCTATATATTTTAACACCATTAAACTTAGGGGGTAAATATTTTGGATAAAACCCTAATGTGGGAAAGAGACCATACGTTGCTGCCAACATCAAGGAAGCAAGGTTGCCATCATGTCATGTTATTTTGACATTTGCAATTGACAATTTGACAAATGTAAACTATGAAATAAAATTTTCATAATTTCATGCGGATGAAGTCGCACGGGAACAGCTAGTGCACTAATAAATATAAAATAAACACTAAATTATAAATAAATCTTACAACAATATATTTATTAAAACCCCCTATAAATTTGACAATTAGTTTAGGAAATTAGCCTACACAAACACACAGACAAACTGATAAAAAACTTACAATCGGCCTGAAGTAAAAAAAAAGTAGTAGGTTTTTTAATACTGATATCATATATAGTTGTTTTTTTTTATGTTTTGTATAGATGTTTTATATTTTGCAGGTGTACAGTACAAATACATGTAGGCTATCCTGTCGTATTAAATTGTCGATACAGTTATGCGGATGTCGACCATTCTACTATTTCTATGCAGGTAAAAAACTTCTGTTAAGGTAGGGCAAGTTCCTTATTTAAAATCGTTTTCGCGTTGTTTTCCTGTTAAATGGGCGGAGCCAGTGAACCAATCAGGGAATTAAAAATGTATTCGGATAATATAACAGTTTAAATATGCATCTACGCACATTATTTTTTTCAAGAATATACACTGAACCAGCTTGATATAATTTACACGGAAAAATGGATTGTGTTTCTGATTTCCTGACTACGCCTTATCTTAAAAACTGAGCAGAACATGACTATAAGTTAGATGATAGATTCTTTTATTTAAAAACATGAATTGATTTTAACGCCATCTACATTTTAATCCTGCAAATTAATTACTAAGTCATAGTTGTCGCTTCAAAAATTAATTGTCAAATCTTAGGAATGGCTAACGTCTGGTGTTACATTATCATAAAGTGATTATTTATCATTTATTTGGTACGAGCTGTTGCCCGCGACTTCGTCCGCGTGGTATTAGAAAACATACAAAGATACAAACTATATAAATTACAAAAAGTTACGTATCCCTCGGGAACCGGACATTTCTCGGGGATGAAGCTTATCCCATGTGTACTCCAGACTTTGTTTTATATCTGTGCCTTTCAATAAGATATGTTGAACCGTTGCAGAATGATCGAGTAACATTGAAAAACTAAATTAACGAATCCCACGAGAACCGTAACTATTCCCGGGATAAAAAGTAGCCTATGTGTTCTTCCAGACTATGCTCTAAACCTGTGCCAAATTTCATAGAGATCCGTTCAGCCGTTTAAGCTACAAACGCTAACAAACATCCATGCATCCATCCATCCATCCATCCATCTAAACTTTCGCATTTATAATATTAGTAAGATTAGTAAGATTTATAGTAATTTTAATCAAATATTTATAACTAGCTTTTTACTTAGAAGGATGATTGTGTTTTAATTGAAAAAAGTTAATTTGTATAAGCGCCATCTATTGTCATTTCTAAGAAAACACCGAAGATAAACTTCAAATAGAAAAATTTTCTGAACTGCAATTCGCAATCACGTAAAGGTCATTTACTTATTCTGCAAACTTTTAATAAAAAGATATATTAAAAAGAAATCTATTTTACACATTATTACATACTTTTCATTAAATTAGTACACCAAATCGCCAACGTCCATACCACGTTGAACACACCGGTTCTCGTCCGATCACCGAAGTTAAGCAACGTCGGGCGCGGTCAGTACTTGGATGGGTGACCGCCTGGGAACACCGCGTGATGTTGGCTTTTTGTTTTTTTAGTGTTTTGTACTATTTTATATTTAAACTAACTGTTGCTCGCGACTTCGTCCCCGTAAATAAAAACAAATGAAAATTATAGCCTATGTCATTGATGACGTAGCTTCTTAATAATGAGAGAAATGCGAAAGTTTAGATTGATGTTTGTTAGAGTTTGTGGCCTTAACTAAACAAATCTCGATGTAAGTCATAGATGTAGAGCATAGTTTAAAAGAACACATGGGGTAGTTACTTTTTTTTCCACGCGGACGAAGTCTCGTGTGAAAGCTTATGGTATACATATTTTGTTAGAGGGCACGCCGTGCGGTCCGGCCGGCATGTGGTGTTTATCTGGCCACAGATCCCAACTTGCCAACTTCGGTGGACAGCGTTGTGTTTGCAACCAACAGTGTGTTGACGCTGTATTCAGAGAGATATCCATTGTTGACCAACTCTGGTAATATATTCCATCGTCCATCTAGGCTTCACAAAGTTCACATTTTTTTCCATACATTTTTTTTAGTGTTAATGTTCGAATTCCCTTTTTTCTCTAGCATATCCTCTACAATACATACTTTCCCCTACGTAGTGTGCACAGTATGTACTCTTACATACATCTCTATCAGTTTTTAACAGTGGTAGTGCCCGTTTTAACATGTTAGCACTGCAGGGCACGCCCCCAGTAATACCACGACAACACAGAAGACTGGCGTGAAATGGAGCAATTCCGTGTTTCGTCTGATGAGTGTGGTGCCGGAGGCCTGATTTAAGTCCCTTACTCTTTACCATGCTTTTCTTATAAGGACAGGATGGGAATAGTAAGTGGATTTGACGGTGGAGGAGATGTGGAAGAGGAAATGTCCTCTTTATGTGCGTCTCCTCCTATGTCGGATAAGGGTAGGCAACGCATCTGCAATTGCGGATGTCTATGAGCAGTGGTCGCTGCGCCATTTTAGCGTATTCAGGTGGCCTGTTGCTCGTTTGCCACCTTATGTTTATAAAAAATAAAAAAACCAGTCTGAATAATTAGGGTAATTCTAGGGATCGAGGACCGTTCCAGAATCGTGCTGCTGTCAGGTACACCGTACAAGCACCAAGGACAAGATACACAAGAGAGATAGTGTTCCACTTTGAAGATCTAGTCGGTAAGTTTAGTAACTATTTAAATATAACGAAATTTGACTAATTGTAACCGTTTCCCTTATATCAAAATGATCTAGAATCCATTATGAATCGATTAAACTATTGGATTTTATAATTGGTTTAGTTTTCTCTTAGATTAACGCACACAAACACACAGACATCGCGACATTATCATCCACTTGCCCTTACCCCTTACGGAGGGTCGGCACAGTATGTGCTCCATACATCTCTATCAGCCATATCTGAATACACTCCTTTCTTAAGCATATCCTCTTTCACACAATCCATACATATTTCGGTCTATTCTTCAATCTTAACACTTTCTGGTTTATATCCCCATCGTCTCATAACATGTCCATACTACGCTCACCTTTTGCTTCTCAATTTCTCCACCATACAGACATCGCGACAAAAGAGACAAAAATGTCTTATTCTCACATTTTTCGTTTGAAATAAGTAACTACTATAGCTAACTTATTAAAACTTTCGTGAGACATTATACTATATTATTTATAACACGGCTAAAACGTGGGAACTTTCGGTGTAGGCACCGACCAGTTTCAAACCCGTAGAAGGTCCTTCAGGGTGAGTGGTTGCCGGCTTTATTCGCTATCGCGTCCCCACGGTCGTCAGTGCCTACGTGAGTTTTAGCCGTGTTATAAATCATTTACTATATAGCGTTTTGTATACTTTCTATGTGTAGACAGTTTTATTTTTGTTGTTTATCTTACTTCTTACTAATAAAAATGCGTAAAGATGGATGTTTGTTAGTTTGTAGCTTAAACTGGACGCATCTCGATGAAAGTCATATGTAGAGGATAATCTAAAAGAAGACAGACTGGTTAATTTTTTCTTAATTTCACGACGAAATCTAGTACATTACAATTTACAGAATTAATAATATGCCAATGTAAACCAATCCTTATTTTTTCAGTATCGTTCGGTGGCGCTGCTGGACTCTTTTTAGGAGCTAGTTTTATTAGCTTTGTTGAAATAATCTATTTTATATTAGACAAAGTAATTAAAGCTGTATTCCAGAACAAGAGTAAATAGGTTAGTATTAAATCCTACATTTCTTTATAAAAACTATTGCTGTATTTATCTATACTATTATAATAAAGCGTAAACACACACTTTTTGTTGCCTAAGATGTCAGCTATTACAGCATATTTTTTAATAAT